ACGTAGCAAATGTTTAAAGGCTTGCGGTAACTATCTTGAAAAATGAAAAAAAAAAACATATTTTAGTTTGTGATACAATCTACATTCATAACTTATATTCTCTAACTCCAATACAGATACAAGCCATATGTACGTAAATAAAAATGAGTATATTGTTGCGCTGTGTGCACGTTCAAAACAAAAGGTGTAAAAGCTCAACACACAATTATGAGTCTTGCCTTTGCGCAGTAGAAAAACAGTTTATTCTGTAGGTATATGATTCATTGCGTTGTAAGATGGGCGAATTTTGGACAAAGGTACTAAAACGCGAACTTTGGCCTTAAAAAGAGTAATAATTAAGTCTTAAATAAATAAAAGAGGTTGATGAAAATTTAAAGTACATAATGTTCTACAACATTTAATAGTAAACAGCTCATAGGTGCGATCAATATCGAAAACGTGGCCAAAAGATATGCAGAAAATTATTTTCAGCTTTATGAAATAGCCACAGGGGGTAAGTCTTTCCTCAAAAAAGGGTTTGCCATGTCCTCATAATTATCGGTACTTAAGATAATATCTAAAAGAGTTTCTTTGAAACAGTTTAAAGGTCGTATTCGAGACATGTGAATTTTCCGCTAACTTTGTTGAGTCAGGGAGGGGGAAGGATTGATTTTCAATTTCAGAAAATAGGGTATCTTCTGGTTGTCTCTATTGATATTGATTTAGCTTGAAAAGCGTTTAATGCGTGCGTAGGTTGAGATGGCATATCAGATATTTTATTAATCTGGTGGAAACGCACAATGGTAAAATCGATGTTCTTTTATATTTACTGTAAGTTTTAATTGCAACGGTATCATTATCTTTCATTATTGTGAAAGTAAATGTAAAACCTATAGGCTGGTGCAAACCATAGACGGCCATACTTATTCGTTGTGAAGTTATAATTAGAAATAGTACTAAATCTTCCCACGTGTTGAATACTATTTATTATTGTATTTTCTCAGTATATGTTATACCCTAAAACCTCATTTTTTGCCACTACGGCCATTAGAGGACGTTATCAGACCCACTGCAAAAATGAAAAAGCTACTTTTTGCCGAAATTAACTGGCATATTATGGTCACAGTAGCTTGGCTTCAATACGTGAAAAAAAATAGCTTGTTTTTAATTTCTCTATTGAAAGTTGGGTAGGTGCTTCATGTAACATTTTGGAAAGCCGTTGGATTTTTATTTGGTTAGATTGATGAATGTGCCTTTTATTGGAGATAACCATTCACAGGAGTCACAAAACAATATCTAGTGATGGATGCAACGCTGTTCAGAAACGAGAGCCCAATAAGATATTAAGTCTCCTTAGTCAGAGTTATTTGGAAATGAAGGGTACAGGGATAAATCATGAATGACACAAATTTGATACTTTGTAGTTAGAACCGGCAACATGTAGTCTTAATGCAGTACAATCCCGTGAGGTTTTGGAAATACGTAAAAACAATGACAATCCGTCGTTATATCCAATCGAGAACTTGCTGTGCAGGAAAAAAAGATTAATGTCGCAGCCGTTGTATGAAAAAAAAAGACGAACGTCCACTGATCGTCACCGAGTAATCATTTTTAAGCAGTTTCCATTAATTTTGTTTTGTTTGTTCTATATCCTTTTGAAAAGCTCTTTTTAATTGATAATTTTTTTGTCCTAATTAAAAAAATAATAGAGCTATTGAGATTTGAAAATCGTCTTTTTCTCCGTGTTTCGAAACTTGCTTTTTGTGACATTCATATTTTACCCTATACCCTTCAAATGTTGACGGAGCTTCCCAGACAGTTGCATGTTGTAGAAAACTTCCAATTAGAGCAACATCAAATAGCTGATGTGCCTTTTACTCTCCTCATCCCATTTTGATAACTGGCAATGTCTAAAAAATCTACCTAATTTCTCCCTTGGCCCCGTTTAAAGCAGGAAATATGGGCGGCCACCAGCGCACCGCCGAAAAAAGTTCAAAACTTAATTAACGTAACAAGTTCGCTGGTATTTCTCTCCGGAGGCCACCCCCACCCATCAGTCGGGGCAACCCTTCCGCCAGTGGTGGCGCAATCGGATGTTTGTTTCCTACCCCACAGTGCAGTATGACGAATTCTGTACACACAGTGCTTTTTAAAAAAGTGTTCTGTTTGTTTTTTGAACAGGTCAAGCTGAGCTGGAATTCGGGATGATGAAGTTGATGAATGCCAAGTTTTCGAGATGTTCGGATATTTTGGCGTAAAAGTGGCGGCTAGGTGAAAAGCACTACAGAATAATGAAAAATTTGAATTTGAAGTTATTTGATGTTTTGTCTGACTATCGGCATCTGATCACAATGTGATCCCAGTAACTCGTTGAACGGTCTTGGAAGCATTTGTGGAACACGCTATGTAACGAGCTCATATGAAATAGTAAACAATATTAATTAAACTGAAAACTATTATAAAAACATGGAATTATTAAATTTCCTATTCCTTGATTTTAAACTGCATCTGAAATTTCCAAGACGCATAGCGTTCTTCTTCTGATAAAAGCATATTTACCTGTAGGATAAGGAACATGATTAACGTTTTAGTTGAAACCTAATGAAAATATGAATTTCTGCATTTTGTTGGCATTTGCTTCTAGACGGTGACGTGAAACAGGGAATTCGTCTTTGGAGATAAAAGCATAAGAAATATATGGAAAAATATAGCACCACTATAGAAATACAATTTCCGTCACTACAGTAAAGATCTAATCAGTAGGGAGACAGATTATTGCTAAAAAGCATGAAATAACCTAGGGGTGTTTTTTTGTCGAGGTATAGAACTTTAAGTTGGCGTTACTTTTTAAGATGACGACCGATTTGACAGCTGTCAAGTGATTTATTCTCAGTTTGGTTTGGCAATTCATCATGAATAGACTTGCGCCTGAACAACGCTTGCAAATTGTAGCAGTTTTATTTCGAAAATAATGGTTCTGTGCGGAATACGTATGGCGCACTACGGCCATCGACAAAATCGTCCATCAGAGCAGTTAATTCGATTAATCCCCAGAGACGCCGTACGGTGCGTACAGAAGATGCTATTGCTACTGTAGAGCGTAGCATTGAGGAACACCCGAATGAGTCCATCCGCCATCGAGCACAGGAATTGGATCTGTGTCCATCCACTTTATGGAAGATTTTGCGGAAGGATCTTGGTTTGCGTGCTTACAAAATCCAACTCGTGCAAGAATTGAAGCCAACCGATCATCAAGCAAGGCGTAGATTCGTTGCATGGGCCCAAAACGAGATTGCCGTTGTTCCCGATTTTCATAAGCGAATTTTGTTTAGCGATGAAGCGTACTTCTGGTTGAATGGCTACGTGAACAAACAAAACTGTCCGCATTTGGAGTGAAGCTAATCCTCAAGTCCTATGTCCAAACACCGTTACATCCAGAAAAACTGACTGTTTGGTGCGCTTTATGGACAGGTGGAATCGCTGGTCCGTACTTCTTCAAAAACGATGATGGCCAGAACCTTACAGTCAATGGTGATCGGTATAGAGCCATGATTACCAACTTTTTCAATCATGATCTCCAGGAGCTGTAGTTCCAACAAGACGGCGCAACATGTCGCACAGCTCGTGCTACAATCGATTTATTGAAAGACACGTTTGGTGACCGCCTAATTTCACGTTTTGGACCTGTGAATTGGCCTCCAAGATCTTGTGATTTAACACCGCTCGACTATTTTCTGTGGGGCTATGTAAAGTCATTGGTCTATGCGGATAAGCCACAAACGCTTGACCATTTGGAAGACAACATTCGCCATGTTATTGCCGATATACGGCCACAAATGTTGGAAAAAGTCATCGAAAATTGGACGTCCAGATTGGACTACATCTCAGCCAGCCGTGGCAGTCATATGCCAGAGATCATATATAAAATGTAATGGCATAAGATTATCTTTCGAATAAAAAAATGCATGTCAATCGCATAATCCATCGTTGTTTTATTGCAATTTATAGTTCTATACCTCTAAAAAAAAACGCACTTTATAAGGCTGGTTGTGGCCGCAGAGCAGCGAACAGATGCTGTTCAGCCAGTTGTTTAGATCATGAAACAATCCGATAGTACGTCTATGCTCGTAGCATGGTGAGTACTCACTACCACCTTATTCCTATAAGGTGAACATTCTTGTTTAGTTTCTTAAATGTAGTTCAGATACGCTTATAATTGTGGTATCCTGCTATCGTACATAGGAGTTAGTAGTACTACAATTGGAGGCAGCATCACCTTTGTTTTTCGCACATCACAATATTAAGTTTTTCAATAGACTCATGTCGCTTGTTTGCTTTCCGTCATGTGTCTTCAAATGATTAGATTTATATCGAACCGACGATCTCTAAAAAGCACGCGGCAAGGTTATATACGGCTTTTTAGTCACAGAGATGAAAAGTGGACAGATCCTGATTTTATCAATACAACTTCGACGCCCCGTATCTATGCACTTTCAGACTCAGGTCGATAGAAACTTTTCTTTTGATAGCTGAACATACCTTCTACCATAACAATGTCGCCATTATATTTTTGAGTTGCCATGAATAGGGCAAAAAATTGGAGTACGGATATCAAAATTTTTGGTATCCATACTCTAGGACAGAGTTTCACAACCTTTTTTTTGTTGAGTCTTCCCGGACTATAAATTATATTTTCATGCCCCCCTTAACTATTTCAATAAATACAAAAAGACGCACATGGACAAATGGATTTCTTGTTATGTGCCATATTGGTGACTCTGAATTGATGTCTGGATAGTATCGGCGAAATTCGTCTTCCAGCACTTGGCAATGAGTTCTTGTCAGCTTTTAGTATATTATTTTTAGTTGCTTTGAACAGCCCAGAAAAATATAATATAATATAACATTTTCAGAAGACACTTTTTGATTCAAAAGTTGAAGCTTTGATATGAACCCCTGAATATAATCATAAGTGCTTATTATAGTGTTGTTTCTGCCCTGAAGTTTCAAGTTTAGCTCATTCAAGGAGTCAATATGTTAGTTAAATAAGCCAACCTCCATTGAAATGTGTCATCTCTGAGCTTTGTCAAGAGATCGTGTTTTTCTTTGAACTCAAGAACAAGAATTACCTCTTCTTTCAATTCGTAAAGGCGAGCCAACATGTTGCCTTTGAACAGCCAGCGTACATCTGTATGGAACAGAAGAAGTTTGTGATCAGAATCGAGATCCTCGCAAAGTAAAGTAAATAACCGACTGTTAGTTAACAATCCTTATAGCCGCATCCAAAGTCTGGCGTAATTTCTGTGGCAATGTTTTGGAAGCCAAAACTTGCCGATTAATAACACAATGTGTACTAATCATTGCGGGATTTTTTCCTTAAGCTCTTTAGCTAAGCCCGTTCGTACACCTATCATTGCAGGTGTACCATCGGTGCAAAGTCCAACGAGTTTCTTCCAATCCAAATAATTTTTTTTAACAAAATTTGATATTGAATTAAATATATCTTCAGATGTAGTACCTGCTTCAAAGATTTGGAGTACAAAATCTCTTCTTGAATGATATCTTCGCCGATGTAACGAACATAAACTATTAACTGTGCACAATTAACGATGTCGGTGGATTCATCCCAACTAATGGCAAAGAATGGCGATAATTTTACATTTTTAATTATTTGTGGCTTCATGTCTGCTGCAATGTCATCGATTCTACGGTTGACTGTGTTATTCGAAAGAGGATTGAATAGACTTCATTTTCTCCTAAAATTATCTGCTTGATGAATGTCATGCCAGATCCGCCTGTGTCCAAAACATCTTCGTGATGCTACCCATATCCGTAGCACCCCCAAAACAGGAACTTCATAAATATTGATCAAGCCAAGCCAAGCCGGCGGGCGCTCTTTGCCCTAACCCCTATGCCCTTTATTATTTTTATTGTGCGCTAATTCGTCTACCTTTGATCTCCGGTTGTATTGCGGTAAAACCCTACTGGGATGAATTATTAATAACCACCTTGAATTTATTAACACCCTTTTGCTGTTTATTTTATCTGAATGAAACATTTATCGCTGGGAAATTAGCCGTAATTAATATTTGAGGAAGAGTGGGCGTTAGATATTAGGAGCCTTTGAGGTTAGGAAAGCGGTTGATGAATTAGATGGTCGAATGTCAAGCTAGTACTATAATTTTCTCATAGACTGCACAAGATCAGTGAATTTCAAGACTAGCTACTACCCTTATTCCCTTAGGGGTATTAAGTAAAAAATTAAAACACTAGGTAGGTTTGTATTGTGCAAATAGTTCACTCCACGTTTGCTTGCTATGATCACTGTGAGCGCCATCAAAAGCTGCCATCTATGGAGGAATGACTCACCGACACTACATGCATTGTTGGTTGCAGAAAGCCGAGTAGCCTGTAGTGTCTATCTCTGAGAACATGTGAAAGAACGAAAGTTGGCTGAGTAGAAAAATCGCATCTGGATGATTATGTGTATTTTTACGAGTATATGTGTACAAAATCAGTGATATTTGCTATGTGAGAAAATCATTATTATATTTTATATATATATAATATATAAATTAGCAGTGCTCGACGGGTTATTTATATGTAGCCCGAATAAACATAATATAGCCACGTAAAAGACAACTGTTGAAATAGACTCTACAAGACTATCCGTAGCGAAATTTTTCCCGAAATCGTTGCACAACACTTAAAAAATGCAAATCAAAATTGGAAAATTGACGCGTTGACTTTTGAAATGGCTCCGTCGGTACCCCAGGCTAGACAAGTTCTGGCAGCTGGAATGCGGTGTGCCATCTCATTGAACGTTTTCGCTACCTTTGCTAATTAGCTAGAATGTTATAAAAAATGAAGCTTTGAATAAAATTTCGAGGAATACCAATGAAATACCATAAGATTTAAGACGTATTAATTTTAATTTAAATTTGAGTTTATGATCCTCCTGCCTGAATTTTTATAGACAATGTTTGAGGGAAATATTTAACTTTCTGTAGAGAAGACCTTTGTTAACTTTCCATACACCAATCAACTTGCTCTCGCTATTCGGGCACTTCCTTTGCCTCAAAAGTTCGACCACCAATAATACTGCCTCAGCCCAAAAACTGTACTTAAAAATTCCTCAAAAAAAAATCGACGGGTCTGAGCGTTTTTCCAAAAAAAAAACTGAGCTGCCAGTAAATGCGTCTGTTTTGTTTTCGATGCGCCACCCTGTATAGGGACAACAGGAAGGTCCTTAAGAAACAGAATATCAGAGCACAAACGAGATTATAGGAATTTCCGCCTAAAACAGGGACACACACAACTAGTCTAACACGTTTTCAGAATAACATGTGTTTAATTCTGATTCTTGCGAGGCCATGTGCAGAAATAATAAATAACGGATTTTCCAAGAAATGTTATGGATCAAAAAAAACATAATAATGCAGTAAAAAAAGAACAGATATATAAGATTTGAGTATTATGTACTATATCATCAATTTAATGAAGGCAAAATAACTGCAACCACATAGCAATCATCAACAAAACAGCAAAACATAAATCAAAACAAAAAAGCTCAGATTTTTACTATTTAGAAATAGTTTTCTTTATTCCAGCAATCTGCGTCTAGCTGTAACTCGTTATAGCCTCTATAGTAGTTCGTTGGATCATTTTTTGACTATCACACTTTAGAAGTAAAAGGGTGAGCTCCTCGCAGTTCCCTTTTTTGACAATCGAACACGGAAAGTACTTTTTATTCGTTTTTTAAATATCTATCTAACCAGTTTATTTTTCTGTTTTATGTTTAATTTTTTTATGTGTATACATTGAGAATTACTATCTTGTTGAGGAAATTCCGATATTAGTTTAAATAGCTCATTTTATATAATGCTTCATCCAAAATAAGTATCATGTACTTCGATTGTAGTATTTAAATTCTTAATTAATGTACATACATGTAAAGTTAGTGGTTTGAATTGTTTTCTTTTTGTAGAGCCCTGAAAGAGGAAAAAATTCCAAAGCGTCGGCAACATTATAAGAGGAAACTGTGTTTCTTTAGATCCCAAATCCAATTAATTACAAGAAACTCAAAAATTCCCCCATAGAGGCAAATATTCGTTTACTTCAATCATTTGCCCAAATATTTGGAAGCATCAGAACAAAGCTTTGTCGGGTCATCGGTCGGTTGATACAGGCCGGAGGGTGAGTATATTAATTTGTTTTCGTTATTAAAGTGTCCGAGTTGAAACGTCTGATTTAATCTAATCAGCGGCATCGGGCCAGGCTGCAGCGGCAATCGACTGTCGGTTTTATTGTTATTAAATATCGGGAGGGGCAGCAACGTGGCTCATCTAATTCCGATAGTTGACACCGTTCGATGGCGTCAGTTTTCATTATGCAGTGGTTGATACAGTTGATGTATGTTCACAAATGGTTCCTATGCACTGGTACCGAAAATGAATAGAGATCAAAATACAACACACGCTACTGCAGGCGCAGCATCCTTTCTTCATATACATATATTGTGGTAGTGAATCCATAACAATTAAGCCTACCGGTTCAGGAGTCCTACAAGGAGGTGTTTTAGGACCCTCTTTCTCCGTTACGTACACTGCAGACCTACCAACTGCAGACAATGCATGCATAGCAATATTTGCAGATGATACGACTATTTTGGCATCTCACGAGAATCCAGATAAAGCGTCGCAAAGTCTCTAGAGAAACTTGCTTCAAATTGAGAACTGGCTTAAGAGTTTGCGCTTGAAAGTTAACGAAATTAGGTCCACACACATATGACATTCATCAATGTTCGAGCCCCTTCCCACTTCAGTTGGCCCAACTATTGAAATCTTAGTTTTTTCTTATCAAACACAAATAATAAAAATGTAGCAGGGTGCTATAGGTTGAAAATATTAACAACGAATATTTTGATAATATATAGTAGGAAACACCAACTTTATCACTCCCTAATCAAATTTGCAGCATAAAAATAACACATGTTGCAATTACAGCATCTCAACCTATTTTCATTTCAATCCAAAATTAGTCTATATCGCATAGGTGGCTGTGAAAAATAAAAGCTATGACAATTGTTTTTATTAATCACAGCTGTCACAGTACGTTTAAAATAGTTTTGGGTAGTTAAGGTCTTCAAAATTGGTAGAGGAAAGGTTATTAGTGAGAAAATTCGGTTACTAATGATGAAATTTTTTAATTCTGGGAAATCAAACTCAATAATTGCAAGTTTGTTAGACTTATCACGGTACAGTGTCAGAAATATTGTTAGAATATATAACGTAACTGGTTCAGTTAATATTAAGCCACGATATGTAAATAAAAAGTAATATCACAAATGCCAACCGAAGAGCATTAAGAAGAATAATCGTGAAAAACAGGGGTGCCAATTATTTACAATTAAGTGCTCTGTGGAGTGACGCTGTTGGAAGGAGAATTTCGAGGTCCACAACTCATAGGTCAGTTTTCTTATAAAAAAGGTGAAGTAAAAACCCTAATGTTGCACAATTTGTTTATAGGCCAAAGAAAAACCACTATCAACTCCACTGCAAAAGAAAAATCGGCTTAGATGGCCTAAAGCAGATAGACAATGGACACCTCAACAATGGTTTGAACTGGGTTTCTAGCAGTCCAGATCTGTCACCTATTGAAACTTTGTGGCACGAGATAAAAAGGTTCTACGACAACATCCTGCTCGTACAATCACCGAACTGAGACAAAAGCTTCAAGAAATATGGGATTGTTTTACACCAAATTTTTGCCAAAACTTGGATAACACTATACCCCAAAGAATTTCAGCCGTAATAAAAAATAAAGGTGATGTTACCCAACGGTAATCTTTCAATTGTTGCTTTGTCAACTTCGCGCATTTATTCGCACATTGTTTATTTGTTCAGATGTTCTATTAGTTATAGGTCTAAGTGATTTCAAATATTTATTCTTTACGACTAGAGTAAATTGTTTTAGAAGTAAATAGTTTCGTCATGTTTAGTTTATAAAGTCATATTTTGGTACAAATCTTGAAGTGGGCCAACTGAAGTGGGAAGGGGCTCGTAGAACAATCAGTCTACTATCAATAACTTACAAAATTCACAATCTGGGTATGTCACACCTAATCACGAAGCTCGAGTTGGTTGGAATGAGGTGCCAAAACTAGACATCAATCATCTCATTTTGTCGATGTATCTTCGTATACAGGACTGTATTCAGCTGGGGGGTCGCCAAACAAAGTATTAGCTGTTTTCTTATTACTTGTCAATAAAATTTCGTGGGAATATTCTCATTTCATTCTTGATGTAAGACTACCTGATTGCCAAAAAATCAAGTTGAAGTATATTTTATGTAATTGAATT